GGCTGGTGAAGCGGGGACGGACTCAGGCACGCGGAATCCAGGCCCGCGAAATCCAGGCGCGGGGTTGGACCTAGTGAGCCACCGAGCAAGCGACCAGGCGAGCGACCTCGGAGGAGACAGCGGGGGGAGTGGGGCTGCATGTTGACTGTGGTCGCGCATTTGTGCGCGGGTGGACAGGCGAGGGAGTGGGCGGTTGGACCGGGACCCAGTGGATCCCTGCGGCAAGCAGCAGGGAGAGCGCCGCCATTTCCCTGCTCTGACCCCACCTCCACATACAGCATCATAACCCAGCGACTCTGAGTGGCCCGGCCCAGGTGAACCACCTAAGGCGCTGCTCATCACCCAGCTGTGAGAAACAGCAGAGGGGGTCGCCATTTCCCCACTCTGACCACGCCCCCACATACAGCGTCACAACCCAGCGACCTGGGAGTCCAAGGCGCCGCTTCTCACACTTAAAGGGCGCGAACAGACCAAAAATGGCTCAAGAAGATCTCAAAGCCCCAGAGCCTATAAATCTAAGTGATGAAGAAATAGCAAAACTCTCAGACGCACAGTTTAAAACACTGGTCATCAGGATCCTCACAGAACTGGTTGATTATACGGACAAATTAGACAAATATATGAAGGCGAAACTAATTGAAATGAATGGAATTGCACAGGACACCAATAGCAATGAAAAGGAAACTGGGACTCAAATCAATGGAGTGGACCAGAAGAAAGCAAATAATGGCCAAACAGAAAAGAGTCAAGAAGCAAGAATTCAAAGAAATGAGGAGAGTCTTAGGAACCTCCAAGACATCTTTAAACGCTCCAACATCCGAATTATAGGGGTACCAGAAGGGGGAAAGGCACAGCCACCAGGGGAACACTTATTTGAACAAATAATAAAGGAGAATTTCCCCAATCTGGCAAAGGAAATAGACTTCCAGGTAATCCAGGAAGCTCAGAGAGTCCCAAAGAAGTTGGACCCAAGAAGGAACACACCAAGGCACATCATAATTACATTAGCCAAAATTAAAATGAAGGAGAGAATCCTAGAAGCAGCAAGAGCTAAGGGGATAGTCACCTACAAAGGAGTCCCCATCAGACTGTCAGCAGATTTCTCAAAAGAGACCTTACAGGCAAGAAGGGGCTGGAAAGAGGTATTCCAAGTCATGAAATCCAAAGACCTACAACCAAGATTGCTCTATCCAGCAAAACTTTCATTTAGAATGGAAGGGCAGATAAAGTGCTTCTCAGATAAGATCAAATTCAAGGAGTTCATCATCACCAAGCCCTTATTATATGAAATGTTAAAGGGACTTATCGAAGAAAAAGAAGTTAAAGAAACATGAACAGTGAAAGGACAACAAACTCACAGTTATTAACAACCACACCTAAAACGAAAGCAAACTAAAAGGACAGCTAGATCAGGAGTGGAAACATAGAAATGAAGATCTCAAGGAGGGTTAGCAACAGGGGAGTGGGAGGAGGAGAAGGGGGGAGAAGGTACAGAAAATAAGTAGCATAGACAGTAGATAGAAAATAGATGGGGGGGCAAGAATAGCATGGGAAATATAGAATCTAAAGGACTTGAGACACATGGTCATAAACTAAAGGGGGGTAATGGTGGGGATGGGAGGTAGGGTGGAGGGGAATGAAAGGGGGAATAGAACAACTGTAACAGCATAATCAAAAAAATTTAAAAAAAAATAAAGTTCAGTTTCCAACGGGTGAAAAAAAAAAGGGAACAACTCAAATGTCCATCGACCCACAAATGATGGACCACCGTGGTGCAGCTGTGCAGTGGAATGCGGTCCCTCCATCAACAGGAAGTACTGACGTGTGCGGCAACATGAACGCACCCTGCAGCCGTTATACCAAGTGAAAGGGACCAGTCAAAAAAGATCCACATTGTAGGATTCCATCTGCACGACATGCCCAGCAGAACCCAACCGAGAGATACAAAATAGGGCTTCTTTTGGGATGGTGAAAATATTCTGAAGTTGGTTTTGGTGATGACTTTAAAATCTTGTGAATATAATAAAAATCACTAAACTGGACACCTCAGCTGGGTGAACTGTTATGTTATCTCAAGAAAGCTGTTAATTAACAACAGCCTTTAAAAAAAAAAAGTACCTTTTTGAAGTTTTATTTATTTATTTTTAGAGAGGGGGGAGGGAGGGAGGAAGAGAGGGAGAGACACATCAGTGTGTGGTTGCCTCTCACGTGGCCCCCACCAGCGACCTGGCCCACAACCCAGGAATGTGCCCTGACTGGGCATCAAACTGGCGACCCTTTGGTTCGCAACCCACACTCAGTCCACTGCGCCACACCGGCCAGGGCAACAACGGCCTTTTTATGTGGGATAATGGAAACATCTATTGATTAAATCACTATTAGTTGGGCATTTCATTACTTTTGGGCAGAAACACCTTAAATTATTGACAGGTCACTGGTGGGCTGATGCTGACAGCTGGGTGTCTCCAGGGCAATGCCCCCGGCTGGAAAATCTGCCACGGTACCACTGTGCCGCCGCAGTCCGCAGCTCTGCCTTCCTCTCGAGGCTGGTCCACATTGGATGGGAAGTGAAAGGCGAATCAACTTTCTCTTCCAGCTTTTAGCGCCCCTCCCCCGCCAAGTGAGAAGAGACCAAAGCGTGGCATTGCCACCTTGATCGACACGCACAGTGTATACCGTGTTTGGCCACGTTTTCCAGGTTAACCCTCTCTATAAATTTCTAGGACTTCAGTAAATATTTTACTCAGAGTATGTTTTCTTCACTTATCTTCCAAAGTACAAAACTATCAGAATTCAAACAAACTATCATAAGTTTCATATAAAAATCTGTATAAAATGAAAAATGTTATGTGTTCTACAGCAACATTAAAATATTTTAATTACATTAAAATAACTACTTTTACAATCAAAGTTTTAGAAATGATAGGGATATTTCAGCATCTCTTTCTTCTAGAGCAATAATGGAAAAACTTTAAACTAAGATCTTGTGAGGGTAAGGGAAAAGGAAGTTTTTTCACAGACAGTATGTTTAAAGAATGACAACTTTTGAAATGATTCATGAGCTTCACATACATAATATTCCTTCAGTTTTTATCAAATGTAATTTATAACGTTTTATAATAAAGCTACGAATACCAATAACAAGAGTCAGTAACTCAACAAAATCTTCTTGAAAAATGAGAAAAATATAGTCTGCTTTAGGTCTTTCTCTCTTTTCTATGAATTGTCCACTATACTCTGACATAGAGAGTTTAAATGGATTTAAAAATTGAAAAACTAAGCAATGAAGAAGTTAATACTAGGCCTCCAAGAGTAGCTCTTACTAGAACTTGATCTTGGAGTTGATATAAATGGTAGAAAATAACTATATGAGATAACGAATATAAGCAGGATGACCTGAAACATAAATAAAGCACAATAAAAAGTCACTGCCAGTCTCTCTGAATAGAATACATACCACATGAAACCGCACCATTGCAACACATCTCCCTTACCGAGATGGAAGTTTTAAGCCCGTGTTCATAGCAACGTGGTTGCTGTGGAAACAGCTGACTCAACATCAAGAACTCACCATGAATCAAATAAGGTGAATAAGGCGTAGAGCAGACGTCTTATTTAAACAGTGGCAAGAACCATGAAACGAGCTCAGCAAACTGAGTGCCAGTGAGTCAGAGCACCGTAGGGTTTAGTGTGAAGGTCGCACCTTCCCCCTCATGCCTGACACAAATAGGGTGTTTCTTTTTCATTTAGGCCTGTATCTTGGAACCCTATAATCATCTCAGTCATCCCTCCAATGCCCCAGTGTGCATTTTATTAAATTGATGCCGCTTAGGACAGAGTTACTCCAGTTCAGGCTCTACCAGAACATGCGGAAGCCATGGCACCGACCAACACAAGTCAGGAAGGGTGTGGAAACCTTTCTGCATGTAACTGGTTCTGTTAAGTGAGGTAGTACGGGCTCATTAATCATATAGCGCCACTTCAGGCTTAGGTTTTGTCCACAGGTTTTAAGACTGTAAACACTCCAAGGATAAAATGTGTCAGAAAATGTTAATGAGCACCCAGCTGCGCCGCCGTACAGCTGGCAGCTGAGCCTCCAACTCGGCATGGTCAGCAACACTCACAACTGTCCCCTCCCCCATCACGGGTCAGGGCAGAACGTTCCAAGCAATGCTGAGAACCCCCCAGATGCTTGGACCTGGTGTGGATTACTGAATTTAAGTGTTCGCTGCTGCCCTTTCTACCTTTTAACTGGAGACACACCCATTTTGCTTCAATCAGGCACACACTTCACTAATCTTTTCCTCTGGTTTTCTGAACCTTCCAAATTTGAACAAACATTCTAAAGCCAGTAGTTTTACCCTTTGTAAAATAAAGCATATGCATGGGGCTGTTTAAACAAATGAACCCCCACACCGCACCCCACTCGGAGATGGCCCAGGGAGACCTGGCACTGTGAACGGAAACCTCACTCCCTCAGGAGCTGGCACAGCCGAGGGTGTGGCTGCCCGTGGTGTGCGTACAGGAGGCCAATTCATACCAGCAAGACCGGAAAAATTCCTACTGAGAGCAACCGTGGAAGCAACGAGAGCCAACAGAACTCGAAGGGCTCTGCCTTTCTGCTGGGTGAGTCACAGGAAATACTTCCGCGGGGCTGGGAGGTCTGGTCCCATCTCCTTCAGTTACGAATGTAGGTCACAGCTCCCTGGGCTTTGTGCTTCAGGGAGAAGGGCTGAGCCTGAGACTCAGAGGCAAAAGCCCGATTCCTGAGGAGCAGGGGGACTGCGTGCCAGCCTTAGCCTGCCCTCCAATGAAGCCCCCGCTTCCGAGAAACCGCAGTGAGCTGCATCATCCCAGAAATGAGCACACTGGCATATGAGGATAGCTCTCCGTTCTAGCTGGGTTTGGGCCACTTCACATGTTCCTATGGGCACCCAGAGGATGAGAGGCCCTGAAACCGCAGCGCATGTCAGGTTCATATACAGCAAGAGTCAGCTCACCCAGCTCCGTCGACACTGGGGACCCGGTGGCAAGCTCGCCAATCTTGGCCACTCCATCGTAGTAGGCTTTTCCCGCCAGGACCATGGCTAGACAGGGAGGGTGGAACAAAAAAGCACCGCTTAGACGAGGACAGGAGGAAGCAACACAGAGGTTTCCTTCAAGCACCCCTTAGTCCCTCTGGCCACAGGGAAGTTTGGGCTGCGACAAGTGTGGCTTTCAGAAGGCAGGGCCTGTGCTGGGCAGCCACACCTGAAGAGGCCCCCACCCCTGGAGAGCACTGTGGGGACCCCTTCCTCAGACCTGCCCTGGGGAGCCACTCGGCAGTGAGGCCTGGAAGTCCAGAGAAGGCCCTGCCTGAGCCTGACGCCAGGTCCATAACAGGTGCGCTCCTAACATAAAACTTACGGCTTTTCCCATACATGTATGCAAGTGCAGGAAATGCAATGCTCTACTATACGGTTGTTTCAATAGACTGAGGATAAGCTTAAAGTATAATTGTCAAAAAGGGCAATAATAAGTTACATTTATGTAGTTATTCCAAGTTATTACTTAGGTTGTTCTAGCTGGCAACATTACAACATGCTTCAGTGAAGTTATCACCCTGTTTCATGAAGGGCAGGGGAATGGAGGTATTCTGGGAGGTTCCCAAGGTCAACAGCAAGTCAGAGGGAGTGAACACAACTCCAGGTAAGGGACTGCACTTCCTTAGCTCTAAATTACGGTGATTGTTGACCCTTTGGCCTCAGAACTGAAAAAGAGATGGCTGTGTCTAAAATCGAGCTCATGGCCAGTGAAACGTCAGGTTAATGTATGCGACGTTTTAGCATGAAGGTTCTGAATCACAAGGTGCTAACAAACTGAAAAGCAAATGTGTGGGAGAATGGAGTGCGGGTTACACAATATTTAAACAACATTTTTGGTTTGAGCTCACATGCCCAAGTGAAACTTTTCATTATCTGTTGATTTATGTTTAAAACTATTTAACTTTCCTAATCTGGTAAAATATCCTTGCTTTTATGATAAAGCTGAAGTAACTTTTAAAGTTATATAATTTATCCAGAATAAATATTCTCATAATTTTGCCCCTCTCTGTGACACATTAAAGGGATTTCCCGCCATTTATTGTTTTAAGGAATGAAGCATATTTGCTCCATTTTACTTATTTAAATTTGGGGGAGGGTAACAGTGGTTAATAACATTATGTAAATTGCAGGTCTATAACTTTATACAGCATCTGTATACTTCATTGTGCGCGCACCACACAAAGTCTGGGCCCCTCCTATCACCGTGTACTTGAACTCCTTCATCCTCTTTGTTCTCCTCCACCCCTCTTACCCTCTGGAAACCCCCACTCTGTCATCTGTGTCTGTGAGTCTGTTTGTTTGCAGCATTTTGATTTATATCCCACATGACTAAAATCATGTGGTTCCTGTCCTTTTCCACAGGACTTACTTCCCTTAGCATAATACTCTCAAAATCCATCTGTTATTGCAAAAGGCAGTATTTCATTTTCATGGCTTAATAGTATTCCATTGTGTGTGTGTGTGCGCGTGCGCGTGTGTATCACACCTTCTTCAGTCCATCATCTTCAAAAGATACTTTGGCTCTTTCCATGTCTTGGCTATTATGAATAATACTACAATAAACATAGGGACACACACATTTTTACAAATAAGTGTTTTCAATTTGGGGGGGGTGGTAAACACTCAGAGGAGAGAGTGCTGAGTTATATGGTAGCTCTATCAGTTTTTCTTTCAGCTTTTCTTTTATTGATTCTAGAGACAGGGGAGGGAAGGGAAAAAGAGAGGAAGAGAAACAGTGATGCAAGAAACAGTGATTGGTTGCCTCTTGCACGAACCCAAAACTGGGGCCTGGACCTGCATCTCAGGCATGTGCCCACTGAGAATTGAACCAGCGACCTTTTGGTTTGCAGAATACCATCCAACCGACCGAGCCACAGCAGTCAGGGCAGGGCAGTAGCTCTATTCTTAATATCCTGAGGAACCTCCACACTACTGTCCATAGTAGCTGCCCCAATACACACTCCCACCAGCAGCACGCGATGGTTCCCCTTTCTCCGTGTCCTTTCCAACACTTACTTCTTGTCTTAGGGAGTTGCCATTCTAAAAGGTATGAGGTGTTAGTTCATTGTGCTTTGATTTGTATTTCCTTTAGAACTAGTAAAATGGAACATCTCTTCCTATACCTGTTGGCCATCTGTATGTCTTCCTTGAAAAAGTGTCTATTCAGGTCTACTGCCCACTTTTGAACCAGATTGTTTGGTTTGTTGTTGTTGAGTTGCAGGAGTTCTTTATAATATTGGGTTGGCCAAAAAGTTCACTTGGGTTTTTCCCCATAAGATGGCTCTAGTAGCACTTAGTTGCCTTAACTTCATTCAAAACAATTGTTAGACTGTATGCTTTATTATTTCAAGAAAGGTAAAAATGTAACTGAAACACAAAAGATTTGTGCAGTGTATGGGGAAGATGCTGTGACTGATCAAACATACTAAAAATGATTTGCAAAGTTTCGTGCTGGAGATCTCTTGCGAGATGATGGTCCACAATTGGGCAGACCAGCTGGAGATGGGAGTGAGCACTTCAAGACACTCACTGAGAACAATCAACATTACGCCACATGGGAGACAGTTGGCACGCTCAAAATGGCCAAATCAATAAAGCTATTGGTAAAAACAAAAGGTGTGTCTTTCACATTATAGAAAAAACTAAACAGACTTTGTGGCCAACCTAGTATTTTAGATATTGTTTGAAAATATTCTTCTCCCAGTTGGCTGGCTGCCTTTTAGTTTTATTGATTGTTTTTCTTTTGCTCTGCAGAAACTTTTTAGTTTGTAGTCCCATTTTTTTTCTTTTTACTTCCCTTGTCTTGAAGGCAAGTTCACACACACACACAAAAAAGAAAAAAAACAACAAAAGACCCCTCTAAGACCAAGTTTAGTGCCTATGTTTTCTTCTGTTATTTTATTGTCTCGGGTCCTATATTCAAGTCTTTAATCCATTTTTAGTTAAACTTTTTTGTATAGTATCAGATAACAGTATAATTTCATTCTTTTGCATGTGGCTCTCTAGTTTTCCCAACACCATTTATTGAAGAGACTTTTCTTTTTCCGACTGTTAAAAATTTGTTGCCCATGTATGTGTGGGTTTATTGATGAGCTCCCAATTCTGTTCCATTGGTCTGTGTGTTTTTCTTCCAAAACCAGTGTTTTGATTATTGTAGCTTTGTAGTATAGTTTGAAGCCAGAAAGTGTGATACCTCTGGCTTGGTTCTTTTTTTCTCAGGATTGCTTTGGCTATCTGCTTTTGTGTGTGTGTGTGTGTGTGTTTTCAAACAAATTTGAGTATTTTTTCCTTCTATTTCTGTGAAAAATGCCATTGGGATTCTGACGGGAGTTATATTAAGTCTGTATATTGGTTTAGGTAATACAACCACTTTCCACAATGTTAATTCCTCCAATCCATAAAAACTGAACCTCTTTCCATTTCTCTGTGTCTTCTTCCATTCCTTTTAACAATGTAGTTTTCAGTACAGGTCTTTCACCTTCTGTTTATTCCTAGGTATTTTGTCCTTTTTGCTGCAAGTGTAAGTGAGACTGTTTTCTTTATTTCTTTTTCTGATACATTTTTGTATATTGATCTTAAGCCTGCAACTTTATTGTATTTGTTTACTATTTCTAATGGTCTTTTGGTAGAGTCCTCAGGGTTCTTTATATAGAATCATGTCATCTGAAAATAGTGACAGTTTTACCTCTTTGTGCCCAATTTGGATGCCTTTTCTTTCTCTCGCCTGACTGCTCTGGTGAGACATTCCATTCCTATGTTGAATAACAATGGCAAGAGCAGGCATCCCCCGCCTTGTTTCTGATCTTAGAGAAAAAGCTTTCAGTTTTTCACTGTTGAGTCTGGCATTAGCTGAGGACCTGTCATCTATGGCCTTTATTATGTTGAGTTACTTCCCTTCTATGTACCACAGGTGGCACACACAAGGCCCACGGCCGAATCCAGCCCTCCACCTTGTTTTATCTGGCTCGGCACCTTGTTTCTACCCGGCGGCAGTGCCAAGCTCTTGCTTAACTGTTAAGGAGCAGTTACGTTTACATAGTCCTAAACTTACATTAGGCCCTTTGAAGGCAACTGTGAGGCTGATGCTGTCCCCCCCAATGAAAATCAGTTCGACATCCCTGTTCTATACCCATGTTATAATTTTAATCATAAATGGATGCTGTATCTTGTCAAATGTTCTTTTCTGCATCTATTGATATAATTGTAAGATTTTAATCTATTTTGTTAATTTTTATACACATTGATTTGTGGATGTCAAACCATCCTTGCATCCCTATAATGAACCCCCCTCTTGACTATATCTACTTAATGTACTGTTATACTACATTTGTTAGTATTTTCTTTAGGGTTTTTTGCATCTCTGTTCATCAGAGATACTGACCTGCACTTTTCTTTTTTGGTGTTATCCTTCCCTGGTTTCAGTATCAGGGTAACGCTGTCCTTGTGTAATGAGTTAGGAAGTATTCCCACTTCCATTTGTTGAAAAAACTTGAGAAGGAGAGGTACTAAACGTTCTTTGAACAGTAGGATTCACCAGCGAAGACATCTGGTTTGAAACTTTTACTTTTTAGGAGGTTTTTGACTACCATTTCAATTTCCTTACCAGTGATTGGTCTACTTAGCTTTTCCCATTCTTCATAGTTCAGTCTAGGAAGGTTATACATTTCTAAGACTTTGCCCATTTTTTCTAGGTTACCAAATTCGGTGGCATATAGCCTTTCATGGTATTCTTGTATAATAGCATTTCTGTGATGTCTATTGTAACTTCTGTTTCATTTCCTCGAGTCATTTTTCATTTTTTCCTTAGTGAGATCATTTGCTTGAGTATCACCTTCTACCCATTCACTTGGAACCTGTGCTTTTCTTCAGAGTTGATGAGTCTCTCGCAGGCAACATATAACTGGGTCTTGTTTTTTTTAATCCATCCTGCTACTCTGTACCTTTTGATTGGTGAGTTCAGTCTATTGACATATAGGGTGATTATTGATAAATCAGGACTTACTACATCCATTTTGTCTTTTGATTTCTGGTTGCTCTATCCCCACTGTGGCTTTTCCCTTGTGATTCTGTCTGCTATTTAACTTGGTGGTTTCCTATGGTTTTTTCCCTTTATCCTATTTTATGTTTCATGCCTCAGCTTTGGACTATTGTTTTGTGGTTGTAAAATATTTCATACGTACAATAGTACTTCTTTTAATTGCCTCTTTTCTTCATTCGCCTGTACCCATTCAGTCCTTTTCCTCCTCCCTTTTATGACTTTGTCACAAATTTCCCCCTTTTTAAAGTTGTGCACTCATTACTAAATTGCAATACTTATTTTAATTTTAATGCCCCCTTTAACCTTTATGCCATAATTGTTTAATAACTTATCCTGAAGTAGATTTACAGTTTTCTGCTTCTGTCTATGAAATCATCTTATTCCAAGTTTCACATACTCCTTTTTGTTTTTCCCCAGTAGAAGAGTTCCTTTCAATGTTTATTGTAATGAAATGTTTGTGGTGGCAAATTCTCTCTGGGAGAAACTTTATTTCTCCTTCATATTTAAAGGACAGCTTTGCTGGATATATTACCCTTCGCTGATGGTTCCCCTTTTAATATTCTGAATATTTCCTTCTACTCTCTCCTGCCTTGCAATGCTTCTACTGAGAAACCTGATCATAACCTGATGAGGTTTACTTTGTGTGTCAGTCTTTCTTCCCTCCTTGCTGCCTTGAGAACTTCTCTGTCATTAACTTTGAACAGTTTGAGTGACTCGCGTCTTGGACAGAGTCTTTCTGTGTTGATATAATCAGATCCTATTAGCTTCCTCTACTCTGAAGTCCAGTTCTTTCTACAGGCTTGAGAAGTTCTCATCAACTATTTCTTCGAGAAGACCCTCTATTCCCTTCTCCCTCTTTCTCCTTCTCGGACACCCGTAGTCCTTGGATTGCTCTTTCTAGTGTAGCCAGAGAGTTCTTGCGGAGTTCTTCTTTTCATCTCCTCACACTCTTAGTTCTCTCTTCTTCCTCCAGGGTCCTTTTTTGGGTCTCTATCTTTGCATTAGCCAATTCTCTCTCCCACCTGGTCTGCTCTATTTCCAATACTCTAATGCATGAATGCATTCCTCATTTCCTTTGTTAAGTTCTTCAGCTCCAGAGTTTCGGCTTATTTTTTTTTTTTTAAATAGTTTCAACCTCTTTGGTAAAGTGCTCCTTTTGTTCATTAATTCTGTTCCTCAGTTCAGTAAACTGCCTTTCTGAGTTTTCTTGTATACCCCTGAGTTTCTTATAACTGCAATTTTGAATTCTGTTATTTTAATCACTGTCTTCTATGACTTTGATTTGACTTCTGGAAATTTTTCATTTTCTTTCTATGCTCCCAAGTTACCCTGGCCATACTATTGGATGGATTGTTTCTCTGCCTGGGCCTTTGAGGTAGTGCTCTCCTGTTTTCTCTCAACAATTCATTAGGCTGATAAGGACGGTACTTTCTTTTGTTTCCCAGTAGGTGGTGCTGCATTACAAACTTTTGTTTTCTCTTGCTCTCACTATTGGTATTTCTGGGATCTCAGGTCCTCTCTGTGATCAACTCACCTTGGTTATGGGGTACCACCACTGTGGTAGGAGAATAGTTTTGTGAACTCCCAGAGCTACCTCCTTTTTCTGCTGTTTGTGGTTTTACTGGGGTCTGCCAGGGAGTGTGGGGGAGAGGAGGCCAGTCTGTTATCTAGCAGTTTTGCCCCACCCTGCCCTGTGTTATTTACAAGTTCCCAGCCACCTCTGCGTGCTTCTGCTGTGATAGGGGCGGGGGAAGGTAGATGCCTTTTCAGGGAGCAAAACTGCTTCGGTCCCTCTTAAACTGTAGCTCAATTCCTCCCCTACTACGCTACCTGGAGCAGCGGTGGGTGCCCAACTGTGTCCCTGTCCTTCCTACCAATAAGCCTACCTTCAAAAGTTCCAATGCATGAATATTTCCATTTGTTTGTGTGAACAGGGGATCCTGTGTTGAGCTACAGTTGAGTGGCATGTAAATTAAGGGGAGAAACAATGGAGTCTTCTTACTCAGGCCCAGACCTGACATCACTCTCATATTAGTGCTATTTTAGTGGCTGACCAGCTACTTCATCAGTCTAATCTACATACTTCTACCAGATAATTTTTCCTTAAAATATGATTTCATTACATTGTAATTTTGCTAAAAAACACTCAAGGGCCTCCCACTGCTCAAAGAGTAAACCCACACTCCAGGGTTCATGATAGATTTTTACGTAATGGCCTTCAGTGAATCACACCTCCCAGAATTCCCATCCTGAGTAGTCCTCTATACACAGAAGAGTGGCTTGGTCATGTGACTTGCTTTGGCCAATGGAGAATCACCAAGTGTAATTCCTACAAAGGCTTGCACCCTTAGAACAGCCTGTCTGGCCTGCAGGAGGGCATGTGCCCAGCCCTCAGTGCCCAGCCCTCAGCCCCCCGCCTAGTCTCGGTCACAGGTGACTGCGGCTGCAGGCGTGAGAATGAGGGGTCCAGAGAACCTCACTGCCTTTATAATAAACCACTGTTGTTTTATGCCACCAAGTTTAGGGGCAGTTTGTTACGTGGCAATAGATGACCAATGCTGCACCGAAGTGCATTAATAATCTGACTCTATTCCATCATTTATTTTAGTATTCCCCGACAGCGCTCACCCATGCCAGTGCGGACGCCAGGGCTCGGCCTGGATACTGTACTTTCTGCCTGCAGTACGTGCATGCAGCCATCTGCCTGCTAAAGCCTACCGTCTACCAGCTAGCTCATCTCCCCGCCTCCACTCATCTCCCCGCCCTGGCTCAAACTGCGGTGGGACTGCCCATCCCCTGCCCTGCGTTGGCTGCACAGGTCATCTTTACTGACAACCTAATCCACCTGATCTGGCATCCTCAACCACACCAAAAATCCTTACCAAGGGCTTTACAAATTTATCTAAATTTCTCAGTGGTTACAACGAAAACCAGATGGTCTGCAGAAATTCAGGAAATACCTTACAAAGTGCAGGATAGTCCCCAGAAAGTGTTAAAGTGATAAGAGCCCTTTGGGGAAGAAGCCTTTTTAGCAGGGACTGAGCTGCAGGCCACTTGTTGAGTTGTCTTGTAAAACTCAGCCTCAGAAAGGCGGCAAATGCTGGAAAGAAAAAATCATCGCAAGACTTGGTGGTTTCCTTCACAGGGGCATCTACAGCAATGACTTCACAGCCTCGTGACTAAGCCTCCCGTCAAGGGGGGTCAGTCAGCTGTGCAAGACTCCTGCTCTTTGAAGGAGGGAGGGGCTGCCCTCAGGAGTGGCTCGTCACCGATCCTGATGGAGGGCGACAAATCCTGGGACTGCTGCGTTTCCTGACCCCAGAAGTGTCTGGCAAACAGCAGAGATCCAGAAGTAAGTAAGCTGTTTACTTTTGCAGTGACTACAACAATGGGTACTCATCATCAGAAGTCTCACCTGGGGCGCGCTCCTGTGGAAACTGTGTAAGGCCACTTCACTGGTTTATCTTCAAAAAACCAACAGGTTTCGTGCACCCGAAGGTGGGGCACAAAAAAAGAAAAATAAGAGACAGACCCATAGTTTTCTGTGTATAATGTGCACCCACATTTTTGGCTCAAACTTTCAGGGAAAAAACTTTTATTTTAACTTTTTAAATTCAATTATTTATTTATTTGTATTTAGAAACAAAACTGATTCTCATATTCCAGGGGATTATTTTGCATACAGATATCGTTACTGCTTTCTAGTTACACTTCTAATGCATAAGCATAAATAAAATAATTAAAAACACTTATATAGATGTGTAATTAGTACTACCTAGGTATAATGCACACCCTATTTATTTTCCTCTCAAAAGTTTGAGCAAAGGTGCACATTATACACGGCAAAATGAGGTATAAAAAGACACAAAAGTTGATCTGAAGCCCTTCCCAAATCTAACCACTGGAAACTAAGAGTTCCACTTGTGTTCCTCGGTGGTCTTCATGAACCAGGGTCAAAGGTGAAATCAGGGTTCGAATATTTTGGAGGTGATTTTTCTACCAAGGGAACACTATTTTGACCATGTTGGAATCTGGTGATTGTCGGCACCTCATATTTTGAAGGCGCTCATTGACAGCACCCGCCTTTCAGCAGGAAAACCCGTGTGCAGATGTGTGCCAGCTTTTTCAAGTGACAACTCTTCAGACTAGAGAATAACGCTGGTTCTCAAAGAGACAACAGCAGCCTATGCTCACCTTCATTTCAAAAGAGCATTCGCTTTGAAATGAGAATCTAAGTGCAACCTTTAATTTAGATGTTTTTCCACTCAGGCTAGAAATTTTACTTCTCAGAGAACATTACTATCAAAAGTGATACACCCAACAGGTAAGAAATTCTTCTATATAAAGAAAAGAGTAATTCCTATGCCTCAGGATACGAAAATAAACATTTTAAGTATACACTTGCAGTGTTATTAGTTCATAAATAATTTGGTTGAAAAAGCAGAAAACATGTTTATGGCAAAGATAGGAAAGACTGAACCATGTCAAAAAATATGATTTGATAATTAAAATACAAAACTCACAATAGCTTATTATTCAATGTACTCACTTCAAATAAATATTCTACCATTGCAAAAGTTGTATAGATTAAATTATGTGTAAATAATTTCTACCAATTTACAGATATTTTTAAAACCTCAATATCAAGCATTTAACAATAATTCAGTGAACTATTTATGGAATGGCTTTTATATGTGCTCTGTATTTATAAATTTATAAAACAGAAAGACTTACCATTAACAGCTTTTTCATAATTTTTTCCTAGGTTTATTAAATTTCGTAGCCGTGGATTGAACTGTTCCATAACATTCTGACAAACAAACAAAACAAATGAATTACTAAACTGAGGAGACGGGAGACTGAGTGATTTCTAGCTTTTGTTCCGTGGCCGGGGACACCCACATGGCCACGAGGAGCGCCATGGTCCCTGCCGAGGGAGCAGGGTGCGTGCACTATCAGGTGTCTGCAACCCAGGCAGTTCTGCAGGTGCCCACGGGTGCAGAGACCCTCCTGCCTGGGGTCAGTGGAGCAAGCAGCAGCCAGGCTGTCTCTCAAAGCCGACCCTGCAGGCGCTGTGAGCCCAGAAGCTGATACACCTTTGAGTTTAAGCTGATCAATGGTTGTCATTCTAGTGATTGGAATTTGATTACGTGGGCAGTGTTCTGGCTGCCAGCTGGACAGAAATTTCGAGGAGATTTTGTGTTTACTGTGCCTCACTGCTGGGGGAGGCTGTGGGGTGAGTGTTGCTGGTAGCTTTAGGACACTTTCTAGGTGGTCACTGTGCTCCCCCCCTCAGCCATCAGCTTATTTATTAAATACTTATGGAGCAACTACTTCGTGCGAGGTCTTCTGCACAGCAGTGGACAGGAAGACACGGTTTCCCCCTTGTGGACCGCACGATGCTGTAACTCTCCAGATGTCGGGTTTCTCACACACTTAGAGATAAATTGTTATGACAAGTATAAGACAGGCAATTATTTGGAATGTTACTATAAATCTGAGATACCCTAAATCTGAAGTACACACAAGAAATCATTCCCAGGGGACTGTGACTTGACTCAGAACACACAGTGACTGAATATATTTGTTCCACCCACAAACAGTGAGCTTTACTCATACCAGACAGAATACTCAGTCTCTTTAACCCTGATCCCAAAGTCTGTAACATTTGTAGAGGTCCAGGCAATAGAAAGACTGAAAAACTAAGCAGCATTCAAAGGGGCAGATCCTTGACACACGTGATTTGGGATACAGAGGTTCTCCACTATGAGCTAGCAGAGAGAAAACATAACTCTTACTTTATCAGGCAGTAGTAATAAAAGCTTATTATGAAAAATCACCCCGCCTCACCTTTCCCAGGCCCAGCCTGACTCCCGAGGGCACTCTTGGCTGTGCTATTGTTCTTATATTTCCGGCCACAGTTCTGAGTAGTCTTAAGTTCTCAATATTGGGCAATGAGTACAGGCTTTCTGCTACAGTGGATGAGGATTGGCTCTCCGCGTCACCCCACTCTCCTCTCCCCAATCCTTCCTACACAGTCAAATGGCGACTTCCTGGTAAGTCAACAGTCAGGGTTTATTATTACTTTGTAAATATTTGCCACGACAAAGCAAGAAATGCACTGAGGATTCCAGTCCCTTTCTTGCTGCAGCCCTTGTTTCTACTGGGTTTAATGGTTGACTCACCCCCTTCCTCGAGCTTACACTTAATTTTCTATGTATCTACCTTAAGTTTTTCCACATGCTCCATCGGATCTGGCAGAGGCCTGTCAATATTATTCACTTCCCAAACACACAAAGTTGTCAGCTAATCTTCCATTCCATTCCTCCCCCCACCCCGGAACTTTCTCCAAGGATTCTCTGTCCTCTTGCTCAGCCTGGCCTGGGTTGTCCCCACTGCCCTTGTGCGTCCCTTTCTGGTCCCTTGTGTCACGGCTCTCATTAACTGGACTCCACACTGTCCTCCTCATTTATCCCTCCTTACTGGAGATCATTCGCCAAGAATGACCTAAGAATTGCTGTGTGAGAGGTAAATCTGAGTACCCATGCATCTGAAATTATTTTTATCTTGACATTTGATTGATATTTTGCTGGCCAGAGTATTATAGATGGAAAGTGATTTTCCCTTAGAATTTTTAAGAGACTGCTCCACCATCTTTAATATCCGGGCTTACTATCTTCGTTTCTTCTTCCTTTCTATATGACTTTTCGGGGCAGGGGGGCTTATTTCCGGAATAATACATAATGGTCCATCTCACTGCAGGTGCCTTTCTCATCTATTTCACTGAACACTCAACATACCCTAACTATACAGACAATTATGTCCTTAGGTCTGGAAAATGTTCCCATTTTGTGTTTTGTCTCATTTTCCTGTGGAATTCTGATGAAGCCTTTACACATCCTGGAGTTATTCTCCAAGTTTTTCCTTCTTTCCTCTGACTGCCCACTGTTTGCTCTAGCTCTCTGACAGGTATCCTCCGCTTCACATTTCCACTCTCACACTGTTTAAACTGTTGATACCTTTTCAATTTGGGCTCTGTCAAGTTTTTTGATTATTCCTTTTTAAAAGCAAACTGTTCTTGTTTTATGGATGCAATACTGTCTCATCTGAATAAACTGTAATTTGGGGGGCATTTTCTTCCAGTTCCCTATGTTATGTCCTGATTATTTTTTTCTCATTGTTTGGTATCCATTTGTATTTTGTGTTGAAGGGTTTCCTCAACTGTCTGGTGATCCTTGATTAGTTCACATTGAAGAGTAAACTCTAAAATGCAGGCTGGAAGCTTGTGGGTATAGTTATGAATGCAGGTGGCCATAGACTGGTGGGCTTCACGTGGAGGTCAGCTGTAGACAAACTGGCCACAGGACAGTAACCAGAGGCTACGGATCATTCCAGAGATGTTTCTAATTCCCTGTCATTGGATCAGGGAGGGGCGATCACCAGGAGACAGGCTTTCTGAGTCAGGAAGGGGGTTGGGATTCCCAGTTTATTGAGCTGATTTTTACTGAATTCCCATGTTCAGCTCTGAGTTTTACTCCCTTCCGCCCATGGCTGGTGTTTCCAAATTACTATATTCTGAGCGTAAATCTCCGGTCTGCCCGGCAGAGGGCGCCACGGTCAGCAGTGGTGGCTGGGGTGGGAAAGAGGCTGGCAGTAACCCCTTTGTAGAACTCCCGTCACAGCCCTCCTCTCTGCAGGGGGCTGAGGTGCTCTGAGGGTGGTGACGGTTCCTCTCTCCATTTCCTATTACCCCAAGTTTCTTTAGACCCTTTCTCCAGCGGATATGTCCATGTTCAGATCTCTACTCCATGGATTTAAAGGGTCTTTAAAAAAGTTCCTTTGCCATCATTTTAATGCTTTCTCAGAGAAAAAGAGCGGAAGACACATGCGGCCCACCGGCCGTGTCTAACTCTGACACTCGTCTGTCTTAGGGGCCAGCCCCTCCGCCAGAAGCCGGAAGCTGTGTGAGCCTGGGTCACGGCGGGCAGCCCCGCACCGGTCTCAGTGTGAGATGGCCACCTGAACCCGGACCTGTAGCCGCAAGCTGCTATCTCCCTCTCTCTCCTCAATTTCCTTGTTTTGTTTTTAAGCTTCTCACTTTGAAAGAGTGTCAGATCCACAAGGTTTAAGAACTGTGCAGGGTTCTCATGTATGCTTCTCTCAGAGACAACTTACAAAACCACTGCACATTCTGAAAGCCAGGAAACTGACACGGGCACAACACTGTTCAGTGCACTGCGGACCGTGTTTGGATTTACCGGGTTTTATATCACTTCTTTTTTCTGAAGCGGTGCATTGTTTCTATGAAATTTTATCACATGTACAGACTTGTATAACCATTGCCACAATTGTAATACAGAACTGTTCCATTTACACAAAGATCTCTCTCATGCCACCCCTTCATAGCCACAACCTCCCCACCAATCCCAACCACGGATCTCAATTACTGATACTGTCATTGTAAAAATGCTCTATAAACGAAATCATGCGACCTTCCGAGACTGGCTTTTTCACGGAGCCCAAAGCCCTTAAGCACCATCCAAGTTGTGGAGTGTATCGGCTTATTCCTTTTTTTCTTTTTTGCTAGTAGTATTCCATAGCATGGAAGTATCACAATTTGTTCATCCACTTATCCTCTAGACATTTCATTTGGTTTCCAGCTTTCAGCAATTTCAAACGAAGCGGATACGGACATGCACAGATAAGTTTTTATGTGAATATAGGTGTTCGTATCTGTAAGATAAACACCTGGGAGTCAACGCTGCGTCACCTGGTAGGTGCATGTTTAACTTTACAAGAAACTGCCACACTCTCCTCCAGAGCAGCTGTACCACTTTATATTCTCATCAGCAATGTACAAGATGTCAGTAATTTAAAAAATCTAGCAATTTTGGCAGAAAATGGTTACTTTCTAATAAATAGATAAAACTATTTTTCAAACATCTCACTGAAAATTCTTATGAGACCATGTCTGGATGATAAGAATAGGCGTTCTGATAAAAAGATAAAGCTAAGTTTAAAATATTTAAAATTCTTCTAATAATCTTATGAGGCTGAGTCTAGATGGTAAGAATATAAGGAAAGTGACACAGAGTTCTACTGGGGAAAAAATTTAACTAAGACTTGAGAGTACAATCAGCTTCACAGAAAATACAAGAGTTCTTAAGCTTGAAAGTTTAACATATACTTCAATTATTTTTTTTTCAACTTCAATTCTTTATTATTGAGGTTTAGCTACAGAAGTTTCTCCCCTGTAAATTTTGGCCTCTTTGAACAGTGGAAAATCCACTTCTACCCAGGCTCTTGGCCATTAATTTAGCTATTTTAACTGAGGTACATGTATTTTTAAGCCCCAGAAGGAAAAGGCAGTGCTGTGTCTGCGTTCCACAACCTACAAGATTTTATAGTAGCAGTAGGTGTCCTTGGGAATTGGAAGGGTTCCCTATTTTGGGGGCAGGGAGGACAGCAGCTGGGTCAAAGGCTTAAGCCTAAAATTTAGCAAGAATCACAAGTAGTGATGAACAAATCCATTTTACTCTAATTTAAATTAAGACTAAAAGGCTTAAGATACCAAGTGTGAAAACAGAATAAATGACAAAAGGTTTTAACTGGCCAAGAAGCACTATTTTATTCTAATCAATAACAAAAGCTTAGTCTGTATTCCACCAGTTACTGCCTGGCAAGGTGGATACTCTGCCAAACTAGTTTCAACCAGAATAAGTTCCATGCAGACAAGAAGAATATGGACAGTCTGGGCTGAGCGAAAATGACAGGCCAAACCACCCTTCTCCCGTTGCCGGTCTCATCTGA